TTATTTTTTACAAAAAATAATAAATATACGGACCGAAATCGGTCCGAATATAAAAATGAAATTTTCGATTTTCTAATGAATATATACAGACCGAAACCGGTCCGTATAGATTTCTTTAAATAATATTTAATTCATATTTTTCGTTATTTAATATTTATTTTTTTCAGAAATAATATTCGGACCATTTTCGGTGTGAATATTATTGGCGCTTTGATACTGTGGATTCCTGCTAGAAATATACGGACCGATACCGGTCCGAATATGTTCAGTAGTATACTTTGGACCACCTAAATATGTTTGGACCGACATTGGTTCGGATATTTATTTATTTGGACCGACACTATTCGGTCCGTATATGTTCGGTCCGTATACGTCATTTTTCTAGTAGTGGATATCATTAATTTTGTACAAGAGTTCTATAAGACTGGAAGAACTGCCAGAGGATCAAATGCATCCTTCATTGTCATGATTCCAAAGGTCGAGAATCCACAAAAAATAGAAGAATACAGACCCATCTCGCTCATTGGAGTCATGTACAAAATTATTGCAAAATTACTTGCAAATCGCCTTCGGAAAGTGCTTCCAAAGATCATTGGGGAGCAACAGATGGCATTTATCGGGGGCAGACAGCTAGTGGACGGAGTTGTGATAGCAAATGAAGTCATTGAAGAGATTAAGAGGAAGAAGTTGAAAAGCTTCCTATTCAAAGTTGATTTCGAGAAAGCTTATGACAAGGTCTGCTGGGACTTCATTGAGTACATGATGATGAGAATGATATTTAATGCTACCTGGAGAAAATGGATATGGGAATGTCTAGCATCAAGCTCAGTGTCGGTTCTCATTAATGGAAGCCCAACAAATCAATTCCTGGTCAGCAAAGGGTTAAGACAAGGAGACCCGCTATCCCCTTTCCTATTCTTAATTGTGGCAGAAGGACTTAATGGGCTAATGTCCTCAGCAGTGGAGAAACAACTATACAAAGGCGTGATGATTGGTAACGAAGGAGTCGCGGTCTCACACCTACAATTTGCGGATGATACTATCTTCTTTGGAGAGGCATCGGAAGACAACATTGGGGTTATTAAAAGCATAATGAGAACATTTGAGCTGAGTTCTGGTCTTAAAATCAATTTTGGCAAGAGCCAACTAATAGGGATAGGTGTTGAAGATAACTGGAGAAAAAAGATGGCTTATAAGCTGTGCTGCAAGGAAGGGGAGATCCCATTCAACTATCTGGGGATCCCAATAGGCGGAAATCACAAGAGAATAGCAATGTGGCAGCCAATGGTTGAATCTTTTAAAAAGAAGCTTGCTACTTGGAAGGGTCGGCATCTATCCTTGGGAGGTCGCATCACGCTCATTAATTCAGTATTGTCCAGCCTTCCTGTGTTCCTCATGTTGGTCTACTTAATCCCGAAAGGTATACTCTATTCCATTGATAAGATTCGTAGAAGCTTTTTATGGGGTGGGGGTGGGGAAGAGAGAAAAATAAATTGGGTTAGTTGGGTTAAGGTGTGCAAAAAAAGAGAGGATGGCGGACTGGGAGTGAGAGATTTGAGGAAGTTTAACATGGCATTAATGGGTAAATGGTGGGGACGCCTTGCAGAAAATAAGGAGGGACTGTGGAAGAGAGTAGTTGCAGGGAAATATGGAGAGGGAGGGGGTCATTGGTTGGACTGGATAAAAGGATATAGAGGAGTAGGTTCGCTATGGTGGAGAGATGTATGCTGCCTGGATAAAATAGATAGAGGGAGAGCAGGATGGTTGATGGAGGGGTTTAAAACAAAGCTAGGGGATGGCAAGAGCATTAGTTTTTGGTGGGATAATTGGAGCGGGGAGGGCTATCTTGCTAACAAATTCCCTAGACTGTATTTATTATCAACAGGAAAGGAGAACACATGCTACCAAATGAATAATGATAGGGCGGAACCAGGGAGATGGAACCTCAGATGGAGAAGGGAACTATTTGAATGGGAAACCGAAGAGGCTAGAGAACTTCACGAAGTGTTAGAAGACAAGATGATCACACAGGAAAAGCCTGATTCGTGGGAATGGGTCCATGACAAAGAAGGACAGTACTCAACAAAAACAGCCTACTCAATCCTAACAGAAGAAAAGACAGGTGCAACTGATAGTTCGATGTGTAAAAGAATTTGGAACCCCAACTTCCCAAGCAAAGTTTCAGCCTTCAATTGGCAGCTATTGCTAAACAAAATTCCAACAAAATCAAATTTGATTACTAGAGGGATTCTCAAAGACTCGGGTGAGGGAAAATGCATCCTTTGTAATGAGGAAGATGAAGACTTTACACACCTGTTCTTAAACTACAAAACAACTAGATGGGTGTGGCAGGAGTGCGCTAAATGGTGGGGGATTGAGATTCTATTGGAGAAGGACTGTTGGAAATCTTTTCAACTATTTGGGAAAGGGAGCAAAGACCCTCGGCTAAGGGAAGGCTGGGACTGCATTTGGAGCAATGTAATATGGGCAGTGTGGCTTGTCCGAAATCAAAGGATTTTCCAAGACAAAAAAATTGACCGGGGAAAGCTGCTGGAAACTATACAATTGAGATCCTATCAATGGGTCACTGCAAAATGGGACAGGTATGCCTTTACCCTCTCAGATTGGCTAATTAATCCAGTAGAATGTCTTAAAGGCATCCATGCTGGTAGGAAAAAGAGGGACTAATGAGGAGATATCGGGCTGCATAATTTTTGCTTAGTATAGAAATTGAGTTGGGTCATGTTGGCTACTTTGAGCAGCTCTTGACTATAGTCTACTCCTTAATGGATTGAGTGGTTAAGTAGATGTAGTCAATGCATGCTCAATGATATGATTGCCAGTGGACTTCAATATTGGGAAGATTTTTGTTGTTCTGAACAGGGAGCTATGAAGAGTATGCAATGGTGGATTGATTTTCGCCACGGGTATAGTGTCGACACTTTTAGTGGGTGTCGACACCTTGCTATTTCACTCATGGGAATGTAAGCTCTCCAAACAGTATTGTTATGGGTTTGGGGCACCCCTTGTACTCCGCTTATTAATAAATATATCTATTGCCGTTCAAAAAAAAAAAAAGAATTCAGAATATATACCCAAAAAACATGACTTTTCTTCTACATTTTTCACAGTCGGATATATGTGTAAAGAGGAGTGCTACTGCTACAGCACTCTCCCTTCGACAACAGCTCATCTATATATTTAGCCACGTTGTTAATGATTTCAATGCCTTAACTAGGAACTGATATTGTCGGTAACAAAGCAAATGACAAAAAAATTAAACTAAATAATAAAAGTATAGGGACTATTTAATGGTTAGTATTTTTTTCATATTGCTATAAGATAAGTATTTGATAAATTATTTATTTTGAAATAGTTAGAAACTAAATATTTGATAAAAAATTTTATTTAATAGTTTGAGAATAACAAATAAAAATTAAGATTTAAACCACTAATAAATTAATTTTAAATAATTTTTTATACCAAATACTAACAAATAAAAATATTGCTTCCTATTTTCGTCCTTTTCCACTGATGTTCACCCAAAGAAGTCTCTTTTTGATCTTACAAATTTCATCACTTAGGATTCTTCAAGGGAAGAAGGAATTAAAAATATGTAGCCAATTACCAGAAGAAAGAGAGTTAGGGGCAAAGATGGAAGATAATTTTTTGGAAGTAAAATCAATTAGCGTAGGTATCATTTAATATGCGGGACCTACATTCATGTTGAAGTTTAATTAATTAATTCTCATGACAACTAAAAGTAGGGAAGAGAACAATTCCACATCGAAATGGATGTTGCAAAAGGACCGACCATTTTATCGATCATGCGCCTAGACCCCTTTTTTCTTCTTTTACTTATCAACAGAAAGCATGTACACAAAACCAACACCAATTCCTCAAAAACAAAAAAAAAAAAAAAAACACCAAGGCCACTCTAATGGGAACAATATTCTGCATGCACACGGAATAACAAAATGATTCCGATCAAAGTAGCTTATTTTCAGAAAAGAAAAGAAAAAAAAAAAAGAGCCAAACCTCTAGATGAAGATTATTTCATATTCAAGTGTTCTTTTTTTACAATCTAAAATAGATTGAACAGAAAAAAAAGAATTCAATACATAAAGATACACACTGATAAAAAAAAATAAAGATATATATATACATACATATATATATTTTTTTGGTATGGACCACCTGGTATTGGGAAGCTCACTAGACCACCGATTAATTCGGATTCGAATCGGGCAGGACTCAAAGAACGACAAAACTCTTCTTTACGAGTTTTAACGGAGCTGCATTCCCGAGATTTGAAACCAAGACTTCTAATTAAACTGAAATAATCCATTTCCAACTTATCCACTTGCTCATGGTATACATATATATATATATATATATATATATATATATAACATTCCAATCTAAACATACCTATTTAATTAGACTAGGAGCCTCCTCTCAAAATCAATTGAATAAAGTGCGGGACAAATGACTCTTCCAAACAACGTCACTTCTTTTTGCACAAGATAGATTTTAATTCGATCCTCAGCTTGCAATCCATGAAGGTCAAAGAATTGCTTCATACCTGTTAGAGTTTGCTTGGTTCCATCCGCCCTCCTTCTAAAGTAGAAACGATGGATGAGGCCTTCTTGACGATCATCTCTTGCCTCCAGCACTGCTGAATTATGTCCCTCTTCAATTCTAGGCATGCGTTCGACATCAGATCGATTTGAGACACTAAGAACACCAATGTTTATAGAACCACCAGGCAGAACTCTAGTCAAAACAATATCCCCCATGGCAACCAGACCCCTCTTAGCAGCCTCTAGGTCTTTTGGGCACAAA